GGTCCTGCGGAGTTCCCGCGGCGTTGTGGCGGGTGCCAGGCCGCGGAGCGTTGACTGGTATTTGATTTTCCTTGGAGGATTCGATCCGTGCTCTCCTCTCGCCAGTGTTGAAACTGTCAGTTCCCGTCACCAGCTAGCTGTAACTCAGGCCTGCACTTGCCGATGCTGGGCGCTCGGCAGCAGGTCCTTGTTGTCGTTGCCCGTTGCCGTCAGTAGCCGGCACTGGTTGCTGCAAGCGGGTCGACAGACATTTGGCCTCTGGATTGGGGTTTCCGGTTCCTATCGCTGAGCGCCTGTGCGTTGGCAGCCGGGTCGTGGAAGTGCCGCTTGCAGTCGCTGGCTTCCACTGGGCGCTTATCGCCATTCGATATCCGGTGCAGGAGGAGGAGGAGGAGGAGGAGGAGGAGGAGGAGGAGGAGGAGGAGGAGGAGGAGGAGGAGGAGGAGGAGGAGGAGGAGTGTTGGGAATCATGATTCTTCTCTCTGGGTGATATCCGCCACCGCTACTTGTTCTATAACAGGCGCGTGTTGGCATTGTTAGCTGGCACTCAACGCTGCTAGTGGATCGACATCAGGCGTGTGTTGGGGTGGCCGCGTTCCGTCACCACCTGACCGCTGGAGTTTTTACCTGTGCGAAGCGTTCCGTCGGTGCGCGGGATGTGCTTCGATGGCCCAGTGAACAGTTTCTGCCAGGGGTTCTCGGTTCTGCCGATGCAGGAAGTCTGGCCGTGCTGCGAGCGACGCATTTCGAGACGGGCAGCTGCAGCTGACGTTCCACACAGCTGGCAAGACGGTGGGGGCAGGGGCCCACGGTGGAGGCATGAACCATAGCGGGAGCGAATCGTATGTACCAGTATGTCGCGCTTATCATTTCACAGCTCCTTCCTTTTCGAATTTTGCCTGCTGTGGACATCTCTCTGTGTGGCCCCCAGGTGCCAGCGCGGTGTTTGGGCATCTTTCGTCTTGCTGTATTTCTCCTTCATTTCTATTCCTCCTCCCATGCTGTTGATCATCCTTCTCGTTCCTTTTTTTCTTCCTTCCCATTCTGCCCTCCGAATTGGCGGCCAGGTCAGCGCCTCCATCGCCAACATGGTCCAGACACAGAAGGAAGTATACCGGAGTAGGATCGCGACGTTCGAGGCTCCCCGTTGGCCATTGCACGCATCCATCGGATGAAGATGAGAGGGGGCGATGCTGCTGAGGATGACCGCTGCTGCTGCTGCTGCGGAGGAGGAGGAGGAGGAGGAGGAGGAGCAGCAGAAGGGAGCGGGGGAGGACGAAGAATGGCGTGACGAGAGGCTCGAGGGTCGGAGAGAGGCGAGCGGAGAGGGGTGCATCGGGTGGTGGGTGGGGGGACTGCTCGAGGCGGGGAGGCTCTGGCCGAGGACGCGAGAGGGCCGCAGCTCGAGCATCTGCACCGGCCCCCCGTCCCTGCCGCCGCCGCGCGTCCCGAGAGGCGCGGCGCTGCGGCGCTGCGGCGGCGGCCGCGCCTCTCGGGAGCCACGTCTGGGGGACCAAATGCGGACCCTGCCCCTCTCCCCCCCCACGGTTTCTGAGGGGGAGGGTGGGGCTCCCTTCGCTCGGGAGCTCCCGGGGACGAGGAGGACCCCACCCTCCCCCTTGAGAAACCAGGGGATGCGGGTGGGTATTTTTAGGGGTATTGGGGGTAGGTGTTTTTCGCGCGGCAACCCCTGGAGCGTCGCCCCCCCCTTGACCACCCGTGCAGCTGTTCTCTCTTCCTCCTCATACTCCTCTTTCCTCCTCTCCTCCCCTCCCCCGTTTCTCCTCCTCCTTCCTCTCCTCACCTCTCTCTCCTCCTCATCCTCCTCCTCCCCCTCTCCCCACCTCCTCCTCCTCCTCTCCTCCTCCTCCTCATCCTTCCTCCTCATCTCCTCTTCCTCTCCTTCCTCCTCCTCCTCCTCCCTCCCCTCCTCCCACTGCCTCCTCCTTCCTCATCCTCCTCCTCCTCCTCCTCCCCCTCCCTCCGTCTCTCTCTCCTCCTCCTCCTCTCCTCCTCCTCTCCTCCTCCTCCTCCTCCTCCGCCTAACGAGGCACGCGCGCGGCGCGGGGGCGAGGGCCGCGCTCTGGGAGCGGCGGGCGCTCCCCCCGCGCAGAGGCTGCCTGGGAGTGTCTCTCTCGCATCTCGTCGGGACGGTAGAGGGAAACAATTACTGAACAATTACTCAATATGAAAATACTCTCCCTCTTCCCCTGATGGCGTCCGGGTGATGGCCGCGCACCCTCCACGTACTGTTTTTTACCAGCAGGATTCCCGGGAAATCCCGGGAAACGACTCTCGCTGAGGCGCCGGCGTCATTTTTTCCCAAAATGCTGCTCTCGTTGAGGCGCTGGCCTCATTTCTGCGCCCGAATCGTTCCGAATCGTGCTCCCGCTGCAGCGTGGGCCTCATTTTCGGATCGGTGTTTGGCCTCCGTCGTTCAGGATGGCGTTCTCGCCCCAGCGCGGGCCTTCCCCCTCCCCCCCAAACTCAATGTTGGCACGCGCGGGGGAGACTGCGGTCGCAGTGCATCTCATCAGACTCACCGCCAACTTTGAACATTTTGGGGGGAGGGGGAGGCGTTGGCCGTTGAATGTGGCATGTGTTCGCTAATTTGTTCCGAGGCCTGGATCACAGGTCACCAGCCACCAAACAACCCCAGCCCAACCCGAAGGCCTCAACATCTGCCCTCCATCTCCCAGTGGGGGGGGGAGGGGGGGCGGTCGGGGAACATTGAAGAAGCACGTGGGACCCGCAGCCCCCCCCCCCCCCTACTCCGAACTTCGGGTCACAGTCGGGGCTTCGGGTTGGGCTGGGGGTGGTCTGTGGCAGGTGGCCCACAGGGCTGCCGGGAGGTCTCCAGCGAAGCGCCCGGCCGGGCCCGCGGACACGCGTGGTGGGGCACCCGGGGGGAGCGAGTGGGTCACAGCAGGACCTTGGCCACAGGGAGCCTTCCACGAGAAACCCAACCCTGAGACCCCAGGACGTCCATTGCTTTGCCGCGGGAAGTCGTGACGTTCTCACGCCAAGAATCCATGGACGTGACGTCCATGGATTCTCGGCGTGGGAGCGTCACGACCTCCCGCGGCAAGGCCATCGGCACCCGAGAGGCCCAGGGCACCCCGGAGGGCAAGCAGGGCGTTTCTTGGCGTGGGCTTCCACTGCACTGCTATGGAAGAGGGGGTTGCGGGAGGAGGAGCAGGGCCCGTACAGTCGGGGCCCTGAAGAAGGAGCCCTTTTCGTTGGGGAGGGGCTCCGCGTTCCTTAAGTGTTTCACAGCTTGCCTCAGGCTTTCCTTATGTTTCCGACAGGAAATCGAATGTTAACTTATGGAAAAAGGGGCCTTGTTCCTTATTTGGGGTTCCTTAGGTCAAGGCCCCGACTGTAGCCGTCTTTTGGCTCCAGCCGCTGCCCGACTCTGGGGGCCGTGGCTTCCCCCGCCGGGCTCTCTCGGAGCAGGGGGATCGGAGGGTCTCTCGCCGCGGGCAGCGTGCGGCCGCACCGAGGCGCATGAGGTCGAGGCCAGCTCGGGGAAGGCACGCAGACGTTCGGAGGCTCTCGCCGCGGGCAGTGTGCGGTCGCACCGAGGTGCATGAGGTCGAGGTCGGCTCGGGGAAGGCACTCAGACGTTCTTCGTGCTTGTTGGCTGTTCTCGTGCATGATCGTTTGCTCCTTCCTTGTTTTGCCGATCGGCGCGGGCCCTCGCACTCCCTGCCCCTCCCCCCCTCCCCCTGGAGTAGACCTCGGCTGTTCTTGGCGCCTGCTTCAAGCAGGCGGAGCCTACGCCCATAGGACGCACTGTTGCGAGCAGTCGCGTTTTTTAAGCAGAGGCCCGCGGCCAGGACCCCCCCCCTTCCCCCCCCCCCCCTTCCGCCCAGTGACGGAACGCCGCGTGAGAAGACGCTCACCTCGTGCATCCAGGGGGAGGGTAGCCTCGAGAGTGCTTCTCAGCCGGGCTGGCGGAGGGTGCCAAATGCTCCTGAAGGAGGCTCTTCGGCCCTGGGTCCGGCCGCACCGTGGGGGGGGGGGGAGCAGGGGGCAACGTCCAGGAGGGGAAAAAACACACACACACACACAGACACAATTCATCGTCGATTCCCCAGAACATATGCGAAAATATGGGAAGTGGGGGGGAAGACGAAAACCCAGAAAATGTTGGAAAATATGGGGAATCCTGTTATTTGTGTGTATTTATTTGTGTGTCCCAGGGCCCCTTCAAACGTCCAGGGGGGATGGGCTCCGGGGGGACGCATCGATCCTCACTCGCGCCCGCTCTTCGCCGGCAGGGGCCCGATGCCCCACCCCGCCCAGGGAGCGTGCGGTCTTGCCCCCTCGTGGGCTCGCCGCAGTTCTGTCCGTGATGTATCGTCAAGTCGGGCCCGTCCCTCTACAGGAGAAACATTCAAAGATAGTCAAAACACAGTCTGGGGACGATGTTTTGGGTATTTTTGGGCATGCTTTGAGCATGTCTTGAATGTCTCTTACTTTTCGTCCAGAAGCCCCCTGTAGGAAGACAGGCCCGACTCAAATGTATCGCCGATTCCAGGGCGAGGTTCTCCCCCCGAGCTGGGTCCCCCCCCCCCCCGTCGCTGCCCTTCGGAGGAGGGCAGACGCAGGGCCTGCCTGGACGCGGAGCGACGTCGGCGGCGACGCGGCGACCCCCCTGGTTGATGGCCAATTCTCCACCACCGCTACCATAGGGGACTGGGGAGAAGGGAGGGTGGGGAGGTCCCCCTCCTCCCCCTCCTCCCCCTCCTTCTCCTCCTCCTCCTCCTCCTCCTCTCCTACCTATGATGATGGTGGTGGTGGAGGTGGTGGTGGTGGAAAGTCGGCCCATCAACGTTGTGAGGCCGAGCTGCGGGCCTACCAGGGCGGCCTGAGGCGCGAGGCGTACTACGTCTACCGCTCGGGGGTCGAGCTGGCCCAGAGCAAGCTCCGGAGTGCCGTCGCCTCGGGCGCGCGTGGCCGCCGCGCGCCGCCCCGGCGCGGAGCCCCTCGAGGGGCTCCTACAGCGGAGGCCCACGCCAAGGAGCACCCTGCTTGCCTCCACGGTGCCCTGGGTTTCCTGGGCCTCGCTGGTCTTGCAGTGGAGAGCTCGACGTTCCCACGCTCAAAACCGATGAACGTCCTGGGGTCTTAGGGTTGCGTTCTCGTGGAAGGCTTCTTGCGGTCGGGCCTCCACTGTACTCCGAGGCAGGGCGGCGACGGCGGCGGCGGCGGCGGCGGCATCGACAGTGATGGCGACGAGGAGGACGACGAGGAGGGCGGAGAGGCCACGGCGGCGGCGGCGGTGGCGCGGACGTGTTGCTCTTGCAGCCGACATGTGCCGCGTGCATTCCCCTCCTTCCTCATTCACCCTCGAATCGCTCACTGCATATGCCAGGCAACAATGAGAATGGATCGAAGAGGGAGGAGGGCGATGTGACGAGGAGCAGGAATGTCTCGTCAGTTTCTTCGGTCTTCATTCCGAGTGGCTCTAGAAGGGAAGCAAGAGATGTTTGCGGGAGCGGGGAGAGGAGGGGACGGGGAGAGGGGAGGCAAGGGGGGGGAGGAGGAGGATGGGAGTGACGGGGTCGACAGAAATGTGTACGGGCGCCCCGGGCCCCGCCGAGGTCGAGGACGAGCTGGACAGGAAGAGGGCCGAGCTGGAGGAGACGCGCCGGCGCCAGCAGACACCACCACAAGGAGGAATATGACGATGATGGCGACGAGGAGAGGGAGGAGGGGGAGGACGAGGAGAGGGCGACGATGAGGACGAGGAGAGGGAGGAGGGAGGAGGGGGAGGACGAGGAGAGGGAGGAGGGGGAGGACGAGGGAGGGAGGAGGGGGAGGACGAGGAGGAGGGAGGGCGACGAGGAGAGGGCGACGATGATGGCGACGAAGAGGAGGGGGACCCGCGGCGTTCGCTTACTTTGTTATGCTATGTTGATGTTGCTTTGACCTTGGCTTGCCCAGCCGCTCGCCTTAGGGCTGCCTTTCTTCTGCCTGCAGCTTGCCTATCAGCTTTCCTTGGCGGCTCGACTTGAGCATGCCTTTCGAGCTTTTATGTGGCTGCCTTTCGCTCGCTTCCCGATGACGCTACGTTGCCTTCATACCTCGTTGCAGCCTGCCTTTGTCCTGTCTTTTGCTTGCCGCCATCTTGCTTGCAGCTCGCATTCGCATTACACCTACAGTTTGCCTTTCGCTTGCTTCCCGATGACGCTACGTTGCCTTCATACCTGGTTGCAGCCTGCCCTTGTCCTGTCTCTGCTTGCCGCCATCTTGTTTGTAGCTCGCATTCGCATTACACCCATAGTCAACCCGCATAGTAATGATGTGCAACCTTCCCAATGGCACCCTTGCATCCTTGCCCCTTCGGCCCATCCTTAGCGACTTTCGTTGGCCAGCCTCGTTCGAACAACGTTCACATGGGCCTCTAAGGCCCTTGCATCCTTACGCGCATCCTTATGATACGGGTTAGCTGTACATGTTGCCTCTCGAGCCTGCTCTCAACCTGCTTGCAGGTTGCCAAAGTGAGCGAAGGCGACGGGTGGCCGTGTGCACCACGGGGTTCCTCCTCCTCCCTTTCCCCCCCCCCCTCCTCCTCCTCCTCCTCCTCCTCCTCCTCCTCCTCCTCCTCCTCCTCCTCCTCTCCTCCTCTCCTCCTCCCTCCTCCTCCTCCTCCCTCCTCCTCTCCCTCCTCCTCCTCCTCTCCTCCTCCCCTCCTCCTCCTCCTCCCCTCCTCCCCTCCTCCTCCTCCGCCTCCTCCTCCTCTCCCTCCTCCTCCTCCCTCCTCCTTCCTCCTCCTCCTCCTCCTCCTCCTCCTCCTCCCTCCCTCCTCCTCCTCCTCCTCCTCCTCCTCCTCCTCCTCCTCCTCCTCCTCCTCCTCCTCCTCCCCCCCCTCCCTCTTTGTTCTTCCCTACGGCTCGCGCAGCGTTGTGGAACAGAGCGTGCAGGCTGCGGCTGTGGGGAGGGCGGTTGGGCCCGGTAATTCGAGGGCTTGTCGCCTGGGGGTGCACCGGGGGCGTGCTGCAGGCGCAGCAGCGCAGGACGAAGCCAAGGAGGCGGAAGAGGGGCGGCTGCTTGAGCGCGTGCGCCGAGCAGGGGCAGGAGGGAGGAGGAGGGAGGAGGAGGAGGAAGAAGAGAAGGGGCAGGAGGGAGAAGGAGGAGGAGGAAGAGGAGGAGGAGAAGGAGGAGGAGGAGGAGGAGGAGGAGGAGGAGGAGGAGGGGTAGAGCTCTGAGGACCTGCTGCACATCGCCACCAACTTCGAGTATCCCGAGGAGCTCGTCAGGTCGCAGGCGGTGCTCCAGCAGATGCGAGACGAGGCCCTGGCGGGCAGACAGTCCAACGGTCCCAGTGGCGAGCGGCCTCTTCCACGGAAGGTGCAGTCACACTAAGTATGAAGTCGGGCGTGTCCCTCTCTCTACAGGAGGAATCTTCAAGAATAGTAGAACATCGTCTGGGGACGATTTCTGGATTATTTCTTGATTTTTTGGTATATGATCGGATTTGTTTCCTGCAAAATTCCGCCTGTAGGAGGACATGCCCGACCTAAAGGAAGTACTCTCTCTCCATGCGAGCAGACGTGCAGAAGTTTCCTGGCTCTCGGGCACGCGCGACTCGCAGCGAATCATGCATGCCAGCTTTCAGCGAGAGTCTTGAGATTCCGCCAAGTCCATCGGTTGCAAGCTGTGAGCGTGTGAGCGACATCTGCGTTGGTATCTAGAAGATTTGTAGGACAGTTGTTTGGTGAATCCGCCCCTGTCACGATCCGCCCAGAATCAGGCAAGGTGAGGATGCAGTTCTGAAGCTCGGCGACAACTGATCCGCGCCTTCCTTGGTGGATCGCGAGATCTGTGTCTCCCCCGGCGACGACTGGATTGTGCCTTCCTGGTGTGGTTCTTCTAGTGAGAGCGTGCCGGCTACCATGACTGCATTGGATTAATTCTGAATGTGTTAGGCATGACAATTCAGTCGGGCATGTCCCCCTACAGGAGGAATATTCAGAATAGTAAGAAAATAGTCTGGGGACGATTGTTGACTATTTTTGACAGTTGTTGAATGTTTTTGTTGAAGCTTTCTTATTTTCAAATCCCGCCTGTAGGAGGACATGCCCGACCTAATTCTAGTGAGCGTGTGCTGGCTACCATGACTGCATGTGGTCAATTCTCAACGTATCAAGCATGAGACTCCAGATCCCCCTTCCCCGCGCCTGGGGAGAGAGGGATGTGCCACCTGGCAGCCAAAATGATTGATCAGTCAAGGGTTTGCGAGACGAGTTTTCGTAGCGCTCAGGGCAACTGAGAACCCCTAACCCTAATAACGCAGTGAAGACGTGGCCTCACTGAGGTCCCCGTCTGTGCATTAGGGACAATACATTTCGGCGGTTCGGTCCGATACATCTGCAGAAAAGACCCCCTATTCCTGATGTTCTTGACTCTCCTCAGTTAGGTCCCCTCCCAAAGGGTTAGGGGTCTGTTTTTGCTGATCATGCCTCGCTGTGATCCTGGACTTTCTTTTGTCGGTATAGTCTTGGAGCGGAATCGCTACAGGCGTGCCAGGCCACTCACAGAGCCGACGCGTAGCAGCCAGGCATGCCGATATGCACGCAGCGCCTGTACAGCGCCCTTCATTCTTTTGTGTGCAAGCGCCGCAGGTAGCCAAGGGCTAGTAACCTGATGACACGGTAGAGGGAAACAATTAGTGAACACCCCCCCTCTCCCCCCCAAACTCAATGTCGGCACGCGCGGGGGAGACTGCGGTCGAAGTGCATCTCATCAGACCTACCGCCAACTTTGAGCATTGGGGGGAGGGGGAGGCGTTGACGGATGAGCGTGGCATGTGTTCGCCAATTTGTTCCGAGGCCTGCAGCACCAAGGTGGTCGAAGCAACTCGGAGCTCAAGCCGTGCACAAGTCATGGCGACTTCTGGAGGCCGAGCCGAGGCATTCTGGCCGCAGTGGAAGGGGTGTGCAGCCTGGCGGTCGGCCGACCGCACGCCGGGCAGAGCCCCCACATGCTTTGTTTCTAGGGCGTCCCCTCGGCTTCCGCTTGGACTCTCCGGCGGTCTCGCGTCTTTTCCCGACTTCTCTCCGTCTGTTCAGGTGGCGATCGTCAAGGCGCTCTGGGAGTACGAGATCGGCAGGATCAAGATGACGGAAGGCTTCCTGGTGAAGCGCTGGCACGAGGTGGCCCAGTCTCGCTTCCTTGCGCTCTCGCCGCTGCTCGCGCGCGCCTGCTCTCTTGCCGAACCGCCGGCTGATCATTCTCATTCTCTGCCTGTCTGGCCCTCCGCCTGCGCGCGCTTTGGCCTCGCTTGCGCGCCGCGAGCGCAAGGTGAGGGCCGACGAGATGGAGGACGACATCAAGGCCAGCCAGAAGAAGCTCCGGGAGACCAAGATCGACAAGAAGCTCGACGTCTTCCTGGGCATGCAGAGCGTGGTGAAGGAGACTGCCCCCTGGGGAGCCCGCGGGCGCGCGGCGTGCAGAGCCGACCCGTGCGGCAGATTTCGGGCTCCACCGTCGATCGGGGGCAACGATAGGGGGGACAGGCAAAGAGGGGGGCTGCATCGACCCCCAATCGCCCATTGATCGCCGATAGGGGCCCGATAGCCCCAACCTGCGCAGGAAGCTGCGGATTCACCATCGGGGGCCTGTCGCCGATCTATCGGCGATACATCGCCGATTCCAGGTCGATGCATCCCCCCTATGCCACTCCCTGCCTATCGTTGTCCCTCGCTCGAGGGAGGAGGGAGGAGGGTGGAGGGCGGAGAGAGTTTGGTCGGGCACAGCCTGGAGGCGGCTGCCTTATGCTGTCTTCGTTAGGCTGCCGCATGCCCCCCCACGCGCGGCGTTCGCGTGCCTTCCTCTGGGGGGATTTCCCTGGGGGTAGTTTTTCATCCTGGGTACGTGTCTCACGGGAAAGCGGACCCCGGGGGCCAAAACGACGAAGAGCCCAAAACGACGAAAACAGACAAATCGACGGTTCAAGCTGCATGACTTTTCCAGGACAGCACAGGACCGATGATGGACCGCTCGGCGACCTCGAAATCCCAAGAGACCTCACCGCGTGGTCCGTCACCGCACGGTCTTGGGACCTCGGATGCCCCCGTCGCCCGAGATGCCTTCGGAGAACGACCCGAGTCGCAAAATTGTGCGGGTGACCCCGAACCCCTACAGTGGGGACCCGACCACAAGAAACCTCCCACAAGGAACCCAACCCTGAGACCCCAGGACGTCTCTAGATTTTTGGGTGTGGGAACGTCACGCTTCCCACGGAAAAACCATCGAAACACGAGAAGCCCAGGGCACCCTGGAGGCAAGCAGTGTGCTTCTTGGCATGGGGCCTCACCGTATTGACTCACCAGGCGGTGCGGGTCGCACCACGCCGCCTGGGGGCCTCCGAGAGGCGACCTCTGCCGCGCACGCGGGGCGGCGTCCTGGTGGAGCCCTCCGCCGCGGCGCCCTCCGCCTCTCCGGCGGCGGCGCGCACGCCTGCCCGAGCGCCTCGTGGGGAAGCCAGACGTCACTGGCACCGCGGCTCCCCGGACCTCTCCCCGGGGTGCGCTCTGACAATCGGAGGTGGATACGTAGACCTCCTACCCTGACACGCCGATTCAGCGAATCAGCCGTTTTCGGTTCGCGAGGGGGCGTCGCGGCCGTCATTTTTGCGGGTCCAGGTCCGTCGGTTTCGGTCCCAGGCCGTTTGCACTAAGGGGAGGTTTACTAAAGGGAGGTTTGTCCACTGCCGAGACAAGCTCTTCGAGGAGAGCCCAGCCGTTGCGACGCGCGTGCTTCTCCTAGGAGGCCCAGCGGAAGAAGAAAAACGCCATAGGCATAAACTTTTGGCGCTCCGCGCGGATTCTTTGGATCCGCGCTGGGCCCCCGCGGCGGCGCCTCCGGCGCCGCCCCTGGCGCGCGCTCCGCGCGCCGGGGATTGGGGTCCAGCGCGGACCCAAGAGACCCGCGCGGGGCGCCAAAAGTCGATGCCTGTGGCGTTTCCTCCTCTTCGCTCCCGCTCCGCCCCCAGGACTGGACCGTCTTCTGCCCCCTGGTCGCGGACCTCACCCACCCTTCCATGCGCCCGCGGCACTGGGCGGCCCTGATGGCCATCTGCGGGAGGACCGTGCAGGCAGCGCGGGGCTGGCGCTCCCCTCGCCTCTCTCTCCCCGCCTTTGTTGTCCCCTGTGGAGGGCGGGGGCCCTCGGGGCTCGTGTCGATGCCTCCGGTTCGATTCGGTCCGGTTTCGACTGGCTTCCGATTCCGATCCGTGGCGCTTTGGGATTCCGATCCGGGCTCCGACTTCTCACGTTGGAGGCAACCAGCCTGCCGCATGTCCGCCGATTCGACTCGTCTCGACTTGGCCGCCGATTTCCGCCGATCTGATTCATTTCGATCGCCGATCCGACTCGATTCGATTCTGGGCTCTCCTGGGGGGCGGGGTGGGGGAAGAAGGGGGGAGCGAGAGGGAGGGAGGGAGGGCGGGAGGAGTGGGGGAGGGAGGGTTCATCCTGAAAGAACAGTCATTGTGGATCATCCTCTCTGCCTTGTGCACACCTTTGTTTTTTCGATCAGGTGTGCTCCTCCCGTGGCTCGCACCTGGTTTTTATCAGGGAAGGTCTTGGTCCTCAAACTGTGTTGTTGGCCCCCGGTTAGAAAACAGCAGCTCCTGCTTGGTACTTTCTCGCAAGTTGTTTCAAAGTCGCGCTCTCGCGCGGGAGTTCCTCACATTTTTTTCAGGAATCGCGCTCTCGTGTTGGCCTTCCCAGCAATTTATTGCGGCGCCGTGCCCCCAAGACTCAGGAATCACACTCACGGCTTGGATTTCTTCGCGATTCCTTTGGGAATCGCGCTATCGCTCGAAACTTCCTGGCGATCTATATTGGATTGACTCTTCAGCGACCCGCCCGCTCGACCCAGCCGTCTGGGCCTGCCCGCCCGACCTTCCCGTCAGGGTCCGCTCGCCCGACCCGCCCGTCTAGTTTTGCCGCTTGTGCTCCTGCTTCTAACCCTCCTCCTGCAAATTTCCCTCGTGCTTCATCCTTCTCCCTCCCCCTTGTCTTTTGCCTCCTTCCATCCGTCACCTGTGGCAGGGGCTGCGCCAATTGCAAACGGGGCAGACGAAGAGGGCGGATATCGAGGTTTTGGGATTTACGTGTTGCATGGCATGCGGGCAGATAGGAACAAATAGTCATAAAGCGATGGTGGTGGTTGCATTCTCATTTCTGAAGGGTATATTGTCGATCCCCCTTCGGTGACCACTGCGTTTTTCGATTGAAGTACCCCTCACGGGGCTCGCACTCAGGTTTACCAGGGCAAGTCTGGGGTCACCAAACTGGCCCCCTGTTCCCCGAGTTACAACAACAATTACGTTACCGAGGAACCCCACATACTTATATTATGGCTGAAATGCAACATGCGATAATGATGCTGGTGGCCGTTGCCCCACCGATACCGTTGGTGACGCCGTTCAAGCCTTGGGAGCTTGAGTGCCCTGTGGGCGTTGAGAAACTGCCACCCCTGCC